AAATATATCTAAAAATACACATTTTTTAAAAGATTTATCTAAAAATTTATATTTTAATTAATATTTTGAAAAAAATAACTGTTGAATTAAAAATTTTATTAATATAAATCATGCATGTCAATTTTTCAATTATTTTAGTAAACTTAACTAATTTCGTTGATTACACAAAATTTAACATTGTTAAATATAGGTCGATAAATAAAATTTCTTTGATCAAATTAAGGGTTATAAGTGTTTAATTGATGTGGAGAATTTCTTGGACCTTTTTTAATAAATTTTTATATTTACTAACAAAGAAACATAGGAGGTCTTTATTTTCCATTTTTCTGCTTTATTATCTTTATTTTGATTAGTAGTATTTGTTGTACCTATGATTTTGATGATTACAAAACATATTTGAGTGACTAATTGATTTATTTAAGTGTGTAGTTAAATTACCAATATACTGCAAAATAAGCAAAATGAGATTGCATTAAAAAGGGTTAAAAGGGTAAAAATATGCAGAGAACCGACTTAAGAAAATTGTAGCCGGCTCTGAGAAACAAAAATGCAGAGAGCCGGCTGCAGATTTTGTTGAGCTGGCTCTACAGGCAAGAAATTCAACTGCTGTTTTGGCGCGCACGGAAAATGGAAGCAGAACCGGCTCCCACTTTGTAGCCGGCTGTGAGGGCGCATTTAATGCACAACAGTCGACTTATTTGAAGAATATTTAATGTATTTAAAGTCGGAGTTCCAAAGCCAGCTCAAAGTTTTACAGCCGGCTTAAAGTTTTGCAGCCGGCTCAAAGTTCTGCAGCCGGCTCTCGAAGAAAACAGAATGTGCAGGAATCCCGCAAAGCCGGCTGCAGAAATGGTAAGCCGGCTGTACAGAGCCGACTCTAGGAAGTTAAGCCGGCTATCCTGACAATCCTGCAACTCGAGCTTTGCGTCCTGCAAAGCATTTAATGACCCCCAACGGCTAGAAACGGCTATTTTCGAGCAAGGGGCTATAAATATGATTGATAACAGATCTGAAGAGGGTTGGAGAACATTGCATTGAATATCTTTACCTACCTACTTGAGCTTTAACTTGAGTTTTTGATCTTTGAGTGATCATTGCTTGTAATCCTCTTCTTGTGCTTTTAGTGAGTAATCTTGGGAGTGTGTTGATTCCTTCAACAGTGATCTATTGAGAGGATTTGTGGGGTTTACATTGTAAAGGGGTGAGGTTTGAGAGAAATACTCATCTTCTTGTAAAAGGATTGAGTGGCTCCTTTAAGCCACCCTTGTTGTTGTTAGTGGAGAGTGTGGAG